CGGCTAATATGTGTGTGTGTGTGTGTGTGTGCGTGCACATAGTGCAAGCACCTGCAGAGGCCAGAAGCATCAAATCCCCTGGAGCTGGAGTTATACATGGTTTCGTCCTCTGAAAAGGCGGTATATGTTCTCTAAGAACACCTTTTCTGATTTTTTAATTTTTTATTATTGTATGTGTGTGCATGCACACACTCACTTGTGCATATACAAATATATGCCACAACATGGTGGTGCACATATGGAAATCAGAGGACAACTTTGGAGTTGGTTCTCTCCCACCTTAATATGGGTTCTGGGTATCAATTATAGATATTTTATAAAAATTGTGTGGTAAGCAGTTTGATCATGTCTGTGAGCTCAGCTTAGCTCAAGGTTGCAACCTCACTCTTCATGTATTGCTGAACACTAACCCTGCCTCCCAGCTCCCTGACCGCTGGCCTGAGGGATACCAAGCATGGCCCATGTGAGGAAGGTGATCTGGTGGTTGGGTTGACTGGCCTTGTATCTTGACTTCAGTACATGTTATCTGTGTGACCTCTAGTAAGCTCCTGAATTTCTCCTGGCCTCAGTTTCCACATCTGTGGTATGGGTAGTCATCTATCCTGCCTATCCAGTGAGCATACTAAAGGCCTGTGGTCAGTGCTGATGTTTCCCAGGATCTCTTGTTCTGCCCTGGAGGATTAGCAAGCCTAGTAAAGCTGCTGTCCTTGCCTTCCAGGTCCAGTTTGGCCATGCCGGAGCTTGTGCCAACCAGGCTTCTGAAACTGCAGTAGCCAAGAACCAGGCCTTGAAGGAGGCAGGGGTATTTGTGCCCCGAAGCTTTGATGAACTTGGAGAAATCATCCAGTAAGGAGCGGAGGGATGTGGCTTCCCTGCCCTCTCCAGCCCCTCCTGAGGACAGCAGGCCTCTAAGCACAGGGGCATCCACGCACTAGATGGGAAACACCTTTCTCTCGGGCTCTGTTCTGTTTTTGCCTTTTGTTTGTTTGTTTGTTTGGGTGCTAGGATTAAAGGTGTGTGCCACCACGCCCAGCTGTTTGTTTTTTAAAACAGGAACTCTCTCTAGTCCCAGATGGCTTGGAACTCAATATATAGACCAGGCTGGCCTCAGTCTCACAGAGATCTGCCTGCCTCTGCCACTTGGGTGCTTGGATTAAAAGTGTGTGCCACCATGCCTAGCCTTGGCTTTTGTTTTAATTTGGTGGCAAAAGCAGCAGGTCCAAGCCAATCAGGCTGCTGTTAAAACCCATTTGGTCTCTGAGCCTACCTTCTTGGCTAGGTGCTGGCGACATAAATGAGACCTGGACATGGCGTGTTTAGAAAGTGTCACCTAGGGCTGGAGAGATGGCTCAGTGGTTAAGAGCACTGACTGCTCTTGCAGAGGACCCAGGTTCGATTCCCAGCACCCACATGGCGGCTATGAACCATCCTTAACTCCAATTCCAAGGGAATCCGAAGCCCTCTTCTGACCTCTGTAGCATTGCACGACATAGGTGCACTCACACACATGCAGGCGATACACTCATACACATAAAATAAAAATGATACATAAAATGTTTAAAATAGAAAAGAAAGTGTCACCTAAAGTAGCCTCTGATTGATAAGAGTTATTGGATGTTCTCTTTTTGTCCCTCTACCTGCCTTGGCTACTCTTGTCTGTCCTTCCATGGTCCCCAGATTCAGCTTTCTATCAAGCCCCATCCAGAGAAGGGGACTTCAGCTTGGGGCAAGGTCAGTCAGGGCCACAGCTTGTTTTCATTTAGCTTTTGGAATCCAACTGGTAAGAGCAGGCCACTGACAGCTGAAGAAGCCTGTAGCGCTTGAGGCAGAGCCTAGAATAATAATATCCACGTGAACAATAGCATCTGCCTCTCCCATCCCCCCAGGTCTGTGTATGAAGATCTTGTCGCCAAAGGAGCCATTGTACCTGCTCAGGAAGTTCCACCTCCAACAGTGCCCATGGACTACTCCTGGGCCAGGGTAGGTGCTGCGGGTGACCCTGGAAATATGGGCAAGGGAGACTTGGAGGGTTGAGGTAGTCAGCTTTGTGTTGGTTTGCTTTGAACTCCTGGAAACTGAGTCCCCTTCCCAGTCAGGCTTCTCCAAGGGCACTGGAAAGCTTTGTGATGGACTCTGCACTGTGTGCTGCAGCCCATGAAATGAAACTGGGGCAGATGTAGTTTGTATGTGTATATCTTCATCTTCTCACTAAGGAGTTTGAAGGATGACGTAGAAAGTACTCTGCCTAATTTTCTGTGGAACGTAGTTATAGAGCTAATCTTTCTTCTTGGGGGCTGGTATTTTTTAGTTAGGGACTTTGTAACCCAGACCTGCTACAAACTTAAAAGCTTCCTGCCTCAACCTCTCAACTGCTAGGATTACAAAACTGTGCCTCACATCCACAAGCTAGTATTCTTGATATGCAAGAGGCCTTGGACATCAATGCTAAAAGACCCAGTGACCCCATTAGGTCACAGTGGGTAGGAAATGACCTTTTAGCATAAAAAATGTTGATCCTCACTCACAAGAAGAAGAACCAAGTAAAATACGATACTGATCCCCGTAAGGTCAGTGGAGGCAAAACTATGTAATATTTGGTGTCTGTTCAGGTTTGAGAAAAATGATGTTTGCTCAATGTTGAGACTTTTCTGACAAACACTTGACTCTCAGTGCAATTTTCAAGTGTTCATAAAATGAATGAATGAATGAATGAGTAAATAAGGCAAGGCGTGGTGGTGTACATCTTTAATCCCAGAATCCAAGAGGGCAGAGACAGTTGGAGCTCTGTGAGTTCCAGGCCAGCCTGGTCTACACAACAATTCCAGGCAGGCCGGCTAGGGCACATAGTGAGACCTGTCTCAAAATTAACTAACTAAATAAATAAATAAATAAAATAAATGAAATAAACAAATAAAAATAAGTAAGTGTTCATACTCAGTTGGTAAATCAATTGCTGGAGTAATCGTCTGGTATACACAGAACCTGGGTTTAGTCCCCATTATTATTTAAACTGTGTATCTTAGGGCACACCTTTAATCACAGACATCTCTGTGAGTTCAAGACCAGCATGGTCTACATAGTAAGTTCCAAGGCTATAATGACACCTTATGGCCCATCGACTTCATATCTAGAAAGCTGCTTCTGAGAAATGCCTTCATATAACACACAAAGGAATATATCCAAGACTTTTATTCAGTTCATGTTTATCATAGGAGATTATCAGTGGATTGTGCTATTATGATGAGGTAACAAAGCAGTTAAAAGGAGTTACCTAGATTTATGCATGTATAGAATTAATAGAACTCAGATTCGCTAAGTAATGGGCATGTTATGGACAGTCAATAGATCATTAATGATTATGAAAAACATGCAGAACCTGTTCACTTTCTATAAGTGTGTATGTAAATAAAAGTAGAGGAAGATCTAAGCCAGGTGTGGTGGGACACGAGGCAGGTGAATCTCTGTGAGCGTGAGGCCAGCCTGGTCTACATAGTGAGTACCAGGTCAGTTGGGGCTACAGGGAGACCCTGTCTCAAAAAGACCAGAAAGGAAGATCTGGAATGGTATCTTTTAAACTACCAAAGCAAGAAACAAGGTTAGAGTTGAAGAGCTATATAACCTATCTGCCCTGCTTTTAATTATTGTTGTTGTTGTTGTTTGAGACAGGGTCTGCTACTTTATTTTATATAACTGGGGCTGGTGGCATATGCCTTCAATCCCACCACTCAAGATACAGAGGCAAGGCAATCTCTCTGTGAGTTTGAGCCCATCCTGAAAGTCAAAAGGGCCTTTCTACTTGTTTTTTTGAAAGGTCTTTATCTGGAAATTGTTGCTTGGCCCTCAGACTAGCAAGATGTTACAGGGACAGTGTAGTTCTGAGAGCACAGACAGCAAGCTGTCTTAAAAAACATCTTTGGTCCCCATGTCCCCATGTGTTTCTCCCCTTGTCTGCTCAGGAACTGGGTTTGATCCGCAAGCCTGCCTCGTTCATGACCAGCATCTGTGATGAGCGAGGACAGGAGCTCATCTATGCAGGCATGCCCATCACAGAGGTCTTCAAGGAGGAGATGGGCATTGGCGGGGTCCTTGGCCTCCTCTGGTTCCAGAGAAGGTGAGACATGGAAAAAATGGATGGTAGGGCACTGGGCTCAGTCTGTGGCCTTCCCCTGACAAAGGAGTTGGAAGGGGAAGACTGAGGAGTGTGTCTGGCCTCAGTCATATGGTCACAGGCCAACTGAAAGGAAAGAGAGTACAGAAAGGTTACTGTAAACCAAGAAAATGAAAACAGTGACCTCATTAGAGGTCTGGGAATAGCTGTTTCCCTTGGGAGCTTCTAAAGAAATAGGATGGTAACAGCAGACCTCTCAGGGTAAACTGGAGAGGTCTGGACAGAAGTGAGCTTTAACAGTGGGCATAGATGTAGGTATTTTCTCTTGACCAATTTGTGTCTCATCAGCCTGAATTTTAAGACACTTGTTTTTCCATCACTCCTAAGGTTAGCCTTCCTCTGAAACTGAGAGCTGGGCAAGACAGCCAGTATGTGGTTACACAGCACTGGACAGATTGCTGGGTCAGAGCCTTGGGGTCTGTCAGGTAGATCCTGCAGTGGTAGATGTGGCCATGCTCCAGGCCCTTCCTGGACAGACTTCATATGGTATAGCGTTTGAGCAGGTTTCTTTGTCTACTTTCGCCTCCCCCATCTCCAGACTTGGCTTCTGATTATTAGTGGGAGACTGAATGCTTCAGGAGGTATTAGGTGTTTCCCCATATCCCCTCTGTCTAGCAGGCACATCCTGTTGTAGAAACTCACACTGACAATTGGAGCTTCTTAAAGTTTCTCAATTGCTGACTCCTTCTACCCAGGAAGTGTTGGTTAGTCCAGTTATATTGGTCTGTAAAACATGTGTACAGATCAAACGTGCAGATAAAGAATCATGAATTTATTATAAAATAGTTCTGTTGTATGTATAATTTTAGCATTTATTAAAGACAAAAGCACAGGACTTGAATCTTTCCCAGGCCTGCTGCCTGGTGCTGGTCTGGGAACAGAAAGTGCTATACTGAGCAGAGGCTATCCAGATGAGTTGTTTCCCATTTGTCTTGGACCTGTCTCTACAGCTCTGCCACATTGCTTCCTTGAGAATGAGGGTATTTCAGAGATTTTGGAGCTGGGGTTAGGAACTAGGAGCAAAAGGGAGTGGAATAAAAAGATACATCTGGACCCAGTGCTTCCTGCTGGCCTCTTCATGAACATGCATACCCAAATGCACACAAAGAGAATTTAGTATTAGCTGAATATTTGATACTAACAGGACACAGAGCATCTTTAAGCTTTTCAGAGCTGATCAGTATTTTGACTTTATGATTGCCAATACTGAAAATACCACTTTACATAAATACATAGTACCAAATAACCAAAGTATGTTTAGGACTACTTCAGGAATTACTACAAATTCTTTCTCAATCCCAACTCAAAGCTCAATTAACAACTTTATGAAGCTCGAATGGTAATATTTAAAAAGTCAAAAATTTTGGGCTAGGACGATGGCTCGGTGCCTAAGAGCATGTTCTGCTCTTCCAGAGACCTCAGCACTCACATTAGATGGCTCGCAACCAACCACTTATAATTGAAGCTCGGAATCTGAAGCCTCTGGCCTCCAAAGGCCCCTGCACTGGTGTACACATAACCCCCCCCACCCAGTCAATCAATCTAAAGCCAAACATTTTGATACAGTAAATGGTCCTGCTCCTGCTGACCCTTAAAAGCAGTATTTAGTAATTCCAGAGCTTCTCAGGAATCAGGAGGAACTTGGGTTGGGAAGTAGCTACTCTCCTGAATTTGAGCGACTTGTTCAGGGATGTGGGAAAAAGGAGGAGTGTGGTCTTGTCACCATGGCTCCTGGCCTTTGTTCTAACTCCTCTCTCCCTGCACCACTATGCACCTTCCTCTAGGTTACCCAAATACTCCTGCCAGTTTATTGAGATGTGTCTGATGGTGACAGCGGATCATGGACCAGCTGTCTCTGGAGCCCATAACACCATCATCTGTGCTCGGGCTGGAAAGGACCTGGTCTCCAGCCTCACGTCAGGGCTGCTCACTATTGTAAGTCCGGCCTTCCTGGGAGGTGGCAGTGGGAGCACTGGACTTTGGCATCCTGCTACCTAAGTGCAACGGGCTCCTTCTAGGAACCCCTGGCTGTAAAACCCTGAGCCCCATATTTGGGGCATCTTGGGTTAATTTTCAGAGCTAGAAAAACCATCACAGCTCTAGGCATTGTGGGCTTGTTTCTCCTACAGGGGGACCGGTTCGGGGGTGCCTTGGATGCAGCAGCCAAGATGTTCAGTAAAGCCTTTGACAGTGGCATTATCCCCATGGAGTTTGTGAACAAGATGAAGAAGGAAGGAAAACTGATTATGGGCATTGGCCACCGAGTGAAATCGGTAAATGGTTGCTCTCTGTAAGAGGGGAGGCTCTGAATAATGGGCACTGATGAGAGATTGTCGATTTGAGTTAGAAACATTCAAGCTCTTGACTCCAATATGCAGCTTGGGACATGCAGACAGTTGCCAAATATGAGGTGGCTAGATTTCCCTGGTCGTAATACAGATTGTCCTATGAGGGTTCAGTTCGTTCAACTTTGACTTTCCAAGTGGACTTTATAGGAGAAAGAACTAAGATGGGGTGGAGGAAACACGTTGGTTACCTTACACCAGACAGCACCTGATGCTACACAGGGCTCTGCCTGTCACAGACAAAGTTTATTTCCTACTCATTGCACATCTGCAATGGGTTGACTGCAGTTCTGTTCTGTCATCTCTGCTGAGCAGCACTTATCCAGGTGTGTTGATTTGATGTTGGAATGAAAACCCCAATGGCAGTACTATGAGGAGGCTCTTAAACACTTGCCCACCAAGTTATGGTTCACTTGGCACTCATTTTTTAATTACATTTATTTATTCTTTGTGCATGCACACATGTATGTATGGTACTACAGGTTTGGAGGTCAGAGGACAACCTGTAGGGGTCATTTCTCTCCTTCCACTATATGGATCCCAGGGCTGGAACTCGGGTTTTCAGATTTGGCAGCAGGTTCCTTTACCCTCTGAGCTATTGCTCTGGCCCCTCACATATCACATTTCATTGGCCAAAGCAAGCCAGATAGTTACACCTGCTATCCTTGGTGTAGTAGAATGGTAATATTAGGGCGACCCCAATTGTGATAGTCCCGTAGGGAAAGATAGTATTTTAAACAGCTAGTGCAGCCCTGGGTAGAGGTGACCGTTGTCTGTATGGCCTGGTGGCAGATCCTGTCAGATCACTAGTGTTCGCATTTATGGTCTTTCTGAGTCATCTCATTCCCTCACACAGGTATGGGTCTCTTAACAGATAGTTAACGTCATCAGATTTTGGGGATACATTGCTGCCGAATTTACAGTGTATGCTTATTTAGTGCAGAACTTTGTTATACTTTTAGATGACAGAGCTAATAATGGGCAGCTTGGCTTGGTGATCCAAGACTTTGAGTAGAGAGTGGCTGAATCCAGCCCCTGCTGCCTCACACAACAGACAGTGACTAACCTCTGAACCTAGGGGGTGGGAGTATGGGTTAGTTCCTTCCACCTAGTATAAAAGTGATTACCTGGGACTGGAGAGATTGCTCAGCAGTTAAGAACACTGGTTTTCTTGCAGAAAACCCGGGTTTGAATCCCAGGACCCATATGGCAGCTAACATAACTCCAGTTCCAGGGGATCCGACAGCCTCTTCTGTCCTCCTCGGGCATTGCACATCACGGGTGCACTAGTACCTACATACAGGCAATACACACATACACATAAAATAAATAAATAAAGCGATTACTTAAGGGCTGGAAAGATGGGTTGGTGATTAAGAGCACTTGCAGAGGACCCGGGTTCAGTTCCCGGATCCACATAAGGCAGCTTACAACCATCTTTATTTTCAGGATCCATCACCCTCTTCTGGCCCTCAGAAGCACCAGACACATGAGTGGTGCACACACATACATGCAGGCAAATACTCATACACATAAATGCACATAAAATTTTTAAGATGAGAGAAAGATTACCTACAGAGGTTGTTTTGAGGTCCAAGTGAGACGTGAGAGAACTTGAAAATCCTCCAGCCTCCCAGCACTGTCCCTATTGGTCCTACATAGAATTTTACACATGGGTCAGGTGCCTGTGTTAGCTCCAGGATAAGACACATACAGCTCTGTGCACTTATGACACAAGTACAAACACATCCCTTGGCTGCTGTGTCTGAGTGAGTTTTTCTGTAACTTTGGATCTTTTTTAGATAAACAACCCAGACATGCGAGTGCAGATCCTCAAAGACTTCGTCAAGCAGCACTTCCCAGCTACCCCACTGCTGGATTACGCCCTGGAAGTGGAGAAGATTACCACCTCAAAGGTACCAAAGGAAGAATTCCCTAGTCACAATTTCGGGTGGATTTCTTCCTTGACATCGGATACAGCCTGATTGTAGAGTTAAAATCAAACTGGGGCCGGGGTGTTTTGTTTTGTGTTTTCTTTTATGTTTTGCTTTGTTTTATTTTGTTTTGTTTTGTGAGACAAGGACTCAGCACAGGCTGGCTATGAAATCACTATGTAGTCATGGATGACTTTATCTCCCATGCCCTGTTCAAAAGGGAAATTTTATTTATTTTTGAGGCATGGTCTTACTATGTAGCCCTGGCTGGCCTGGAACTTGCCCTGTAAACCAGGCTGGCCTCAAACTCACTTGAGATCCACCTGCCTCTGACTCCCAAGTACTGGGGTTAAAGGTGTGTGCCACCCACACCCATTGGGAAATTTTTAGTGTCAAAATTGATAGTAACTGTGTTAGGTGGCTTTACTTTGCTGTGACAAGTACCTGACAGAAACAGCTTAAAAGGTGGAGGGACTTACTTTGCTCAGTGGAAGAGGTTTCAGCCTGATGGCAGGGATGGCCCAGCAGGACAGAGCAACGCACATCATCACAGCCGGGAAGCAGAGAGATGCTTGTGCTAGCCCCCTTCTTTCTTGGGCTCCTAACCCATGGGCTGGTGCTCCCATTCGGAACAGTCCCCTCCCCTTAGTTAAGAAGCTCTCACAGACACACCCAGAGCTGAGCATTGCTAATTTCCTAGGAGCTTTCAGGCTAATCAAGTTGACAAATACAAGTAGTAACAGTGGGAAAATCGGGGAGACAGAGAGAGATAATAAGAATGAATTTCTTGCCTTCCCAGAAGCCAAATCTTATCCTGAATGTGGATGGTTTCATTGGAGTTGCATTTGTGGACATGCTTAGGAACTGTGGATCCTTTACCAGGTGAGCGTTACAGCCCTTTCTTGATTCAGCCTCATTGATTTTTGTTGCTGTTTCCTCCCGACTGTAAGGGATCTAGAAGGTTTGGAGAGAAAGAAAAAACCAAAAGTTGCTCTAACCCTACCACCCACAGTACCCCTCTTTTTTCCACCTTGAAACTCCAGCGCTCCCCTGGCAGCAGTACTGTGTGTTGGAAGGAGGGTCACGTGAGTCATTTTAAAACTGTAAGTTGTCTGTGTGTTATAGGGAGGAAGCTGATGAATACGTTGACATTGGAGCCCTCAATGGCATCTTTGTGCTGGGAAGAAGCATGGGCTTCATTGGTGAGTTGGCTGCTGTTTTGAGGTGGTTTGTTGTTGCTTTTCTTCTTTTCTAACCCTAACCACTTCCCCTGTGTGAAGTTTCCACCACAGATGTCACATTTTTGTAATCATCATTCTCTTTTCTTTTAAAAAAAATTGACAGGCATGGTGGCGCATGCCTTTAATCCCAGCACTTGGGAGGCAGAGGTGGGTGGATCTCTGTGAGTTCAAGGCCAGCCTGGTCTACATAGTGAGTTCCAGGACAGCTGGGACTATAGGGAGACCCTGTCTCAAAAAGACATAAAAAAAACAAAAAAAAAAAACATTATTATGGGGTTGGGGGTGTGTGCTTGCCATGGTATGCATGTAGAGAGTTGAGTCATTATTTCTTTATATTCATTTATCTTAAATTTTATGTGTATGAGTGTTTTACCTGCTTAAGTGTACCCATCTCATGCAATGCCCACAGAGATCAGAAGAGGATGTCAGATTCCTTGGGAACT